TTCCCTAAATCAGATATGAAATGAAAGATTAAGAAAAAGAGTTTAACTCAGTAAAACAGTCAAAAGAATAATTTTGGTAAATAAAATGTTAAATTCAGATTCTTCTCTATAATTTGAAACTGTCTTCTGTAGAATGTCTTAAATGGGGATAACGCCAAAATTCTTCATATGGGAAGACTGTCTCTCTCCCCAAGTGATGTCTGTAGTTTTACAAAAGATTTAGCCAATCCATCTATGGAAGATTTTCTCAGCCATCAGTGTGTAAGATGTGAAAGCAATGATGCATTACTTAATATGGACATTATTCTTTTTGAATAAAATGTTGTGTAATCAACCTCAGTATACAGCAGGTCCTACTGAAAGAGAAGTTGGGCATTCATCTTTGAAAAGGTTAGGCTGTTGGTTATGGTTAGATTAAAGAGTGGTTCAAGAGGGTCTTGCCAAATACATACCTCAGGTTATTCTCTTTTTTAGATACTGGAAGATCATAGGGTTGTTCCTTCAATTATGAACACACATAATTGATGGGCTGTGAAACTAGCTGCTCTTGCTGTCCCCTCCCACAGTTGTGGCTCATTTTGAGGGTATTTGTTCCTAATCACTGATTCTGAATTTGAGAGGTTAAGTCCTATTCCTTCCCCAAGTCTCTTCTCCTGACATTTTATTCTTTTAATTGTTGTTATTCTGATTTAGTCTAGACGTAGCCTAGTAGTTAGATTATGGTGGCAAAGAAAGCATATTCCTAGGAGATTGGACTAAAGTATTGTGTGTATATTCTGCTTGCTTTCACTATATCTGTGGGTTTGGGTGGGTGTTTGTTACTCTTCAATCTCACCCCCAGACTGGCTGAAGGGGATCTCGTGTTTATTCTTTTGGTTCCCTTGTTTGCCACAGCATGTAGGAAAGTTCTCAGGCATTATAGAGTATGGAAGAAGGGTACATACAGATTCAGAAAATATATCCCACTCCACAGAGTGTGTGTATGTGTATATAGGGTGGCACTGGTAGCACCCAATATGATTAAGGTTGTGTGATAAGTTCCATTTTAAAACCCTTTTGTTGGTTGCTTGTCTCTTTGACAAACTTTAACCGCACAGGCTGAAATTTTCCATGTTAGTTGTCTTCTAAAAGCTGATCGGTTTTTTGGGGAAGGAGGGTTGGCGTTGTGGAGGTTTTTTGTTTCATTTTTTTTATTATTCTTTAGTTTCAACCAAAATAGTTTGGCCATTTCCTGGAATGAGGATAAGAAAAATAAAAGTTGGAAAGCTCTTATCCCCCAATCCTATGCTTTGGAATAGAGGCTTGAAATACAGCAGCAGGAGATGCTGTCAGTGATATGTCTTTTAACTCCCCCATGAAAATCTTCCAAAATCTGGTTAAGTTTTAAGACTTTGAAAAATCATGGTTCATATATGCACAGTCTGAGATATGGGGCAAAAATGGACTTTCCATGTACTGGATGCTTCTGGCTGCTCTGGACCAGAATGGGACTGCACTAGATCTGAGAGTAGAGAGCCTGATAATCACTGAGGGTACGTCTATACTACAGCGCTAATTCGAACTAACTTAGTTCGAATTAGTTAATTCGAACTAAGCTAATTCGAACTAACGCGTCTAGAACTAAAAACTAGTTCGAATTAGCGTTTTGCTAATTCGAACTAGCATGTCCACATTAAGTGGACCCTGAACCGGGCTTAAGGATGGCCGGAAGCAGTGCCGGCAGGGCATAAGAGGAGGACTTAGAGCGTGGAGATGCTGTCTCAGGCTAGCCGAGGGCTGCGCTTAAAGGGACCCGACCCCCACCCTGGACAGACAGTTCTCAGGGGTGCCCCGCTTGAAAACCAGTCCTGGCTTGGAGTGCCCACACTGGGCACATCACAGCACTCGGCCATCAGCCCAGCTG